CCTCCCCTGCTTCCTTCAGGAGACTTCCAACGGTGCCTTCTGAGGCAGGCCTTGCTTCCTTTTGGGATTTTTAACATTTGATGTTATTTTTAGTCACTAATATGTCAAGAGGGCTCTGAAATCAAAACTGTGCCCTACGATGTCTTGTGCGACACCTGCCACCCTCCAAGGGGCCTCCACCGCCACGGAAGCAGACGGACATATGAAATGGGGCCTCATCTCCCCCCTCTTCCGGAAATCCTTACTTTTGTCTGGATCCTTACTTTTCGCCATCCTTACTTTCCCCCACCTCTTCCATTCACCTGACAGAATGTTCTGGAGCTTCTTCTTTGGCAGGACCTTCCTCTTTCTCTGTCACCTGTCCATAGGATCCTGTCACCTTTCACTTAACATTCCTCTAAAGATGGCCCCATTTTCCCTCTCTTGTGACGACCTCAGCCTCATGCCTGCATCCTCTGACTCAGGTCCTGGGATGGCCTGAGAAGGCTGCAGGGCACGATATGTCGCTGCCTCAAAGGGACATGCCTCTACACTCCAAAAGTCATCGCTGAGTGGCTCCCCGGGGGGCCACTGGATGCAGAAATAGAAACCCCCTCCCCTTCTCCAGCACCCTCTTCCTGCCTCATTTACCACCTGGGCACGGCCCACCTTCTGCAGTGCCCTTGACTGACCTTCGTGCTTGCTTCTCCTCTGGCTTCCCCACCACCACGTTAACCCCCGGGCAGGGCCTCCTCTGTCTTACCCACCGCTGGCTCTGCAGTGCCTAGAACAGTGTCCAGCATCAGTAGGTACTCAGTCTTTTTTTCTTGGATTGACTGAAGTGTGGGGCCTGTTCCGAGTGACCTTGCCGCTCCGTCTTGGCTTCTTCCCATCTGACATGTGGACTCCCATGCCAGGGGCCACTTGGACGATTAAATGAGAAATTGTGCCGCACCAGGCCCTGGGGAGGGGGGTGCCTGGTCCCGCATAGCTGGCTGACTGTTGGCTGCCCCGGGGCTGCCGCTCCCCGCCCCCCCGCCCCGCAGGAGCCCCCTCCGTCAGACCCCTGGCCCTCTCACTCCTCCCTCTGCTTCTGTCCCAGCCGCTCCAGTACCTACCCCTACCCGGAGACGCCGCTGTACACCCAGACCGCGGGCGCCAGCTACTACGAGGCCGCGGGCACCGCCGCCCAGGTCAGCACGCCCGCCACCTCCCAGGCGGTGGCCAGCAGCGGCTCCGTGCCCATGTACGTGTCCGGCGGCCAGGTGGTCGGCAGCTCCACCAGCAGCGGGGCTGGGGCCAGCAACAGCGGCGGCGGCG